TCCAAACAAAATGATCCCTGCATTTCCTGAAGATATTTAGTGAGAGTCTCGTAAGCGAAGGAGTCTGAAAAATAGGAAATGCAGACATAGGTTTTGTCTGGTTGCATATAATCTTTGCTCTTTTTAAGCTCTGTGAGCTCTGAAATATATTTTTGGGTTACTTCAGTGTGTTTGACAAGACAGCTTGATATTTCTATCAAACAAATGACTTTCATATTGCAACAATCTTTGTAAGAACCACTCAAATAAAAGTCTCTTTAAAAGGCCACAGGAAATCCTCATTTTTCAAATGTTTTGAAGTTACCAGAATTTGAGAATAGAATATTACCCTCTTTTAGTCGTGATTCGGTACTTGCCACTTTGGGGGAAAATGTGCCATGTTTGTGGAAACTTGTTCTCATGTTGCCCCCATGACTTCCTTTATGCCATTATAGTCTAGTCCTGTGTATTTTAGAATATCAAAACTAAGGGGTTTACCAAAAGGAAAAGCAAACATAGCCATGTCCAACCTTGGTATTCTTGGTTTCCTGCATTATCTGGGTATAACTGTGAAGAAAAATTTTACCATTTAAAATAGTTATTTAAGAAAATGGCTTAATTTCAACCTGGTTTCCCAAAATGATTTAGCTCCATATATTAATGTAGTAAGCGATTTTGAGCTTTCATACTAGTTTGGAAGCAAGCAACACCATTTATACTTAATTCTTCAACTTTTTGTATCTTGGTCAAATCTTGAGTAGGCAGTGGTGCTCCTAAATTTACCTTCAAATACTGATTTCCTTGCCTCATTTGTTTACCTTTTTGGTTAGCATTGAAGCAGAAGTCTTATAAGCTTATTCAAATAGTTTTATTTAGAGAGGTTGAGTTTGGGGGGCATCAGAATTTCATAGCAATCATTTTATTTGACATTTATCCTATTCTAGTGATTTAATTTGAATGAAAACTCTCAAGGTTCAATTTCTTTTTCTTTTTGTGATGGGAGTCTTATTTGGCTCAGGCTGGAGTGCAGTGGTGTGATCTCGGCTCCAGCTCTCAGATTGAAGCAATTCTCCCAGCTTAGCTTCATGAATAGCCAGGACCCAAATGCACAGCACCGTGCCCAGCTAATTTTTTATTTTTAGTAGAGACGATGTTATGCTGTGTTAGCAAGGCTGATCTCGAACTGACCTTAGGTAGTAGGCTCACCTCAGCCTCCCAAAGTGCTGGAATTACAGGTATGAACCACCACGCCTAGCCTCATTTATTTTTCGATACCAGACTGCAGTGTTCTTTAGGGCAGCGATACTCTGTCAGTGTAGTTTTTTCCCCTTTTACTAAGCTTTCTGGGAGCTGGGCCAGCAAACATGGCCTTTAGTAGTTTCTCATCTAATATTAAAAATGGGGTGGCTAAAATTTAGCCACTACCACGGAATGAAATTTGGTGTGTAGATAACATTCAGAGGAAATGTGGTTGGAGGACTATATGGAGCTAAATCAATTTGGGAAACCAGTGTGAGGTTAAGCCATTTTGTTAAATATGCATTGTAAATGTGTCTTGAACAGTGTTGCACATGAAAAACAGCTCATTCTCAGTCAAACTGTTTACATGCATGCGGTCAGTTCCTGAGTCTGCGTCCCATTGGTTTGAAAATCTGTAGCTAATCTTAACGGTGTCCTTAATTTCCTCATTGTTCCAAAGTGTTCATCTAGTTTCTTTTTTTTTCTAAGATGGGGTTTCACCATGATGGCCAGGCTGGTCTTGAACTTCTGACCTCAGGTGATCCACCCTCCTCAGTCTCCCAAAGTGCTAGGATTACAGGCGTGAGCCACCGCGCCCAGCTCTCATCTAGTTTCTTCTATCTTTATAACAATGTGAAAGTTCTGTTTAAGAAGTACTTAATGGGCAGTGCAGGTTAGTAACTCCAACAAGGTCTGTGTGGCCTAGGCAGGTAAATGGACAACTGCCTCACTACGGAAGCTTCTTAAACTAGTTTGCAGAGGGTAAGCTATATAGTTTAGATTGATGATTGGTTAGAAAATCATTTGGAATTTAGCCAGTTGAGAAGCTACAGAAGTGGCTGATGTTTCTAATTTGTTTCATAGTGGATATTTTGCTTTATCTGATAAAGCTAATAGGTATATCTAAACCTCGAGCTGGGCTCGATGCCTCATACCCGTAATCCCAGCACTCTGGGAAGCTGAGGCAGGTGGATCACAATGTCAAGAGTTGGAGACCAACCTGGCCAACATGGTGAAACCTTGTCTCTACTAAGAATACAAAAATTAGCCAGGCATGGTGGCATATGACTGTAATCCCAGCTTCCCTGGAGACTTAACACAAGGTGAATTGCTTGAACCCAGGAGGCGGAGGTTGCAGTGAGCCAAGAACGTGCCACTGCACTCCAGCCTGGGTGACAGAGCAAGACTCCGTCTTGGAAAAGCAAAAACTCAGGATGAATAATGCTTTGGAAATAATGTAATGTATGACCTTGAGGAAATTTAGGCTTATAAATTTTTTGAAATAGTTTCTCTCCTTTAAAATGGTGACCGTATCAACAAGCACAGAGTTTACTAATTAGTTGATGAGTATGGAAAGTACTAGACACTCCCAGGTTTTCCAATTTTGGATTAAGAGTGCCAGACCTGCCGGGCGCGGTGGCTCAAGCCTGTAATCCCAGCACTTTGGGAGGCCGAGGCGGGTGGATCACGAGGTCAAGAGATCGAGACCATCCCGGTCAACATAGTGAAACCCCGTCTCTACTAAAAATACAAAAAAAGGCCGGGCGCGGTGGCTCAAGCTTGTAATCCCAGCACTTTGGGAGGCCGAGGCGGGTGGATCACGAGGTCGAGAGATCGAGACCATCCTGGTCAACATGGTGAAACCCCGTCTCTACTAAAAATGCAAAAAATTAGCTGGGCATGGTGGCACGTGCCTGTAATCCCAGCTACTCAGGAGGCTGAGGCAGGAGAATTGCCTGAACCCAGGAGGCGGAGGTTGCGGTGAGCCGAGATTGTGCCATTGCACTCCAGCCTGGGTAACAAGAGCGAAACTCCATCTCAAAAAAAAAAAAACAAAAAAAAAAAACAAAAACAAAAAAAAATTAGCTGGGCATGGTGGCACGTGCCTGTAATCCCAGCTACTCAGGAGGCTGAGGCAGGAGAATTGCCTGAACCCAGGAGGCGGAGGTTGCGGTGAGCCGAGATCGCGCCATTGCACTCCAGCCTGGCGCCTGGTGACAGACTAAGACTCTGTCTCAAAAAAAAAAAAAAAAAGAGTGCCAGACCTTATGAAAGAGACCCTAACTCTAGTCATTACATTAGTCCATCTCTACTGCAGAAGATCTTTGGCAAAGTTGGATAATAGGCTGAGAGAATAAAATGCCTGAGGGACACTGAGACTACTCAAAGACTTTCTTTTATTAGAACATGGGCTGGGATTGATGGGAAAAGGTGGATGTAGTGGGCAACCATGGTTAGCATCGGATACCCATCCCGATGGCCATGAATGTGCCAAAGGTGCCGCCACTCTGCATCATGGTTTTCCCAATGCCGCCCATCAGCTCCCGACCTCGCATTCCGATCCTGAGAAGGAAACCAAGATGGGGCTATTTGATAAAAATACCGGAAAAAGTATTAACTGCCCCTTTCCAATTTTTTGCTAACACTAGTTTAGCGACCCCTACATCTCATTTTCCACTTACTAAATATCTCTTACTACCCGGGGTTGGTAATGGAAAGGAAAAAGATCCACCTGGGTCTCCAGGGCATTCTTCAGGAATGTATTAACTGCCTTCAGTTTGTGAGAGGCAGGAGATGCAGTGTAAAATACATAGAGAAACCAGCTTTTAGGCCTCGTTTTGCCTGCAGGTTAAATGTGACCCAATAAAGACATCTGTCTTTTAGACAGTTTTTTGGTGTTAATGATTGTGGAATAAGGTTGGGGTTCAAGAGTCAGCTCTGCAATTTACACATTATGTCAAGCGTAAAATCGCATCTCAACATTATTTACAGGATTGTTTTGAAAGCTACAGCATTTGGCACAGTGCTTAACATATAGTAAATGCTCGTAAATGGCAATTTACAATGTGGAGATATGGCAATAATAGCCTCTAAATGTAAAAATGACCTTCAGAGTGTAAAGTTTATCTGCTTTATTTCTGTGTCCTGTATCCAGAATAGTAAAACCGCTCAACAAGTTTCTTTCCCATGCGCAATTGGAAATAAAAATAACAGCAACAGTAGTAACCAGTTACTGAGCACTTAATATGTGCCAGATGCTGTGCAAAGTGTGCTGATCGAATTTTTAGACCTCTGTAAGGTGGGTGCTACTATCTTCATTCTACATTAGAGGAAACCCAGTCTCCAACTTGTCTAAAGTCACCGAATCAGTATGAGAAGGAAGGGCGAGAAAGCATTTTGATTCTAAAGCTCAAATGGACACTTCCACAACCTGACCTTCCAGATTTAAGGTAGTTTCGTAAAGAGCCTGGCTTAGCGAGGGGACAGCGAGGGAAGTGTAAAGGAGGAGGCTCTGTTCAGGCTCCAGGCCGAATGGCAAAGGGCCGGAAGGTCTGGTTGCCCTGCCCAGACATCACCGCCCGCACCTCTCACCTGAGACAGGAAAAGGTGCCGAAGAGCGCCCCGGCCGCCATGCCCACGGCGCAACCCATCACGAAGCCCATCTTGACGCGGTCGAAGCAGCTTGGCTGGGACTGTCCGTAGGGACCCACGGCCACCGGCATCTGCGGGGTGCGGTGGACAGGAAAGTGTGGGCCCAGTCGCCAGCCCGCGAGTCGGGCGGGGACGGAGGCGGGAGGCTGGGAAGTGGGCCCAAGGGCTCAGGGAAAGTCTGGGAAGGAAAATCAGCGCGTAGCCCGACTCCACCACCCTCCTCCGTTCCGGACGCGCGTCGCCCGGCGCATACCTCACCTCGCTCGCGGCCTCGGTCGCTCAGCTCTACGTCTGTCACGGAAAACGACGGGGAGGGCGCTAGCGGCCCGATGAATCGTTTCCGGAGCGCGCAGCAGCACTTCCGGGAGCCTGGGACCCAGGACTGCAGCCGCGTCGGGTGGTGGGCTCTGCTAGCGGGATCATGCTGCTCCGAGCCGCTTGGAGGCGGGCGGCAGTGGCGGTGACGGTGGCTACAGGGCCGAAGGCTGCGGCGCCCACTCGGGGGCTGCGCCTGCGCGGTACGCTTGGGTCCTGCTTGCCGGGAGGCGCGAACCTGTCCCCAGCCCTGCGCGGCGACGCGACTGAATATTCCGGAGCCTTCCTGTCCACCCTACCGCTAAACCCTCTGACCCTTTCTCTCAAACTTTCTTTCAAACGACGCATCCCTCAGACTTTCTCAGGAGGGTCCCCGAACGGTTGACCCTGGTGCACCACCCTTCGCACCCTGCGTGACAGGGCCCCAGAGCCGTGGAGGCGCGTCCTTCAGACCGCTCCTGGCCAAGTTACAGATGCTGCTCCGGGCTTCCATGCAGACCTTACCTTCGGAAGGGACTGCACCTACTCTGGCTCCCCGTTCCTTCTAAATGGCTTTGCCCTTTAGAGCCTTCCCCACTCCCTAGGAGACTATTTGAATATCATCCTCTCCAGGAAGCCTCTCTCCCTCTTCTTTACCTCCTTTTACAGTGAGCGTGTCAGGTCTCTGGTGGTGTTTTCTTTCCATTGAGATTCGACCCCAGCATCCCTTACACTTACCTCCAGCCAGATTTTTTCTTCTTCCCTTTGGATGCCATGCATTCGTAGTTACATTCGGTCTTATTTGGCCACTCCTTTCCATTTTTTTCAGTGAGAGACCGTGCTCCTCAGTCTGCTGTTCCAGCAGACACAGCTGCTGCCCCGGAGGCGGGGCCAGTGCTGCGACCTCTCTATATGGATGTGCAAGCTACTACTCCTTTGGTAAGGATGGAGCCTTCCCCAAGGCTGCTTATAGGAAGTAAATGATGGATGTGACCACGCAAGGAAATGGCTGGATCCCTGGAGAAGTGAGAGGCATGAAAGTGTGCTGGAAAAAGCACCGAACCAGGAGTTGGAAGGCTTAAATTCGAGGCCAGTGGCAGTAGCTTTACTGCTCACCAGCAATTGACCTTGGTCAAATAACGTCAGCATGGGCTCTGTAGTAGTCGTTAAAAGCATGGGCTCTGGAATGAGCAGAACTGTCATTAGTAACTCTGTGAACTTGAACTAGTATTAAATGGGCTAAAAGACTAATGCAAGTTTTTACCAATGTGTGACAAGGCCTGTCCCAGACCTTTATAGATCACGTTGCCTGGCAGGAATGGAAACACCAGCAGAAAGAAGAGTCAGAATAAGGCAGTGTTTGTAGACTACCCGAGGGAATGGCAGAACAATCCAAGTTGAGATGGGTTGTGAGTGTGAGTGTATTAGGTTGATATTTTGTGGGTGCTTTTGTGGGAACAAAAGAATGTTTGAGGCCTCCTCTAGGCAGTGCCTGAGGGGTTGAGAGTATCTTGAGGCAGGATGGGCAGGTCTGAGGGGTGGAGTGGGACCTGAATTGACGATGGGCTGAAGGAAACTGATCTGTTCTGTTGTGCTTAGGACCCCCGGGTGCTTGATGCCATGCTCCCTTACCTAGTCAACTACTATGGGAACCCACACTCCCGGACACATGCATATGGCTGGGAGAGTGAGGCAGCCATGGAACGTGCTCGCCAGGTTAGTACACGGGAGGTTCTGAGGTCAGAAAGGGGCAGTGGCCTGTGGAAGGCATTTCTTTCTTGGTAGGTCTGTGTGGAGGTAGAAATGGTTGGATTCTTTCTGGAAGAGATTCAGAGAGCAGCCCTGGAGTTGGACTGACTGCAGGCATTTCATTAGTTCTCATATTTCCTGGCAAAATGACTTGGGCAAGTTATCTAATTTCTCTAAGACTTGTTTTCCTCACATTTAAAATGGAGATTGCAGGCCGGGCACGGTGGCTCAAGCCTGTAATCCCAGCACTTTGGGAGGCCGAGGCGGGTGGATCACGAGATCGAGAGATCAAGACCATCCTGGTCAACATGGTGAAACCCCGTCTCTACTAAAAATACAAAAAACTAGCTGGGCGTAGTGGTGCGTGCCTGTAATCCCAGCTACTCAGGAGGCTGAGGCAGGAGAATTGCCTGAGCCCAGGAGGCGGAGGTTGCAGTGAGCCGAGATCGCGCCATTGCACTCCAGCCTGGGTAACAAGAGTGAAACTCTGTCCCCCCAAAAAAAAAAAAAAAATGGAGATTGCAGTAGTTTCTACTCTGTAGTGTTACTGGGTGGATTACATAAAACAATGCTGGTAAAGTGTTTGTTAACACAACAGCTGTAAGTAAGAAGTACTATAAGTAGTAAGAGCTCAGTAGTTCATTTTTGTTTGTTTGTTTGAGATGGAGTTTTCACTCTTGTTGCTCAGGCTTGAGTGCAGTAGCACAATCTTGGCTCACTGAAACCTCAGCCTCCTGGGTTCAAATGAGTCTCATGCCTCAGCCTCCCAGGTAGCTGGAATTACAGGCACACACCACCGTGCGTGATTAATGTTTTTATTTGTTTATTTATTTATTATTTTTTGAGACAGAATTTTGCTCTTGTTGCCCAGGCTGGAATGCAATGGCACCGTCTCAGCTCACCACAACCTCTGCTTCTTGGGTTCAAACAAGTCTCCTCTCTCAGCCTCCCAAGTAGCTGGGATTACAGGCATGCGCCACCACGCCTGGCTAATTTTGTATTTTTAGTAGAGATAGGGTTTCTCCATGTTGGTCAGGCTGCTCTTGAACTCCTGATCTCAGGTGAGCCGCCCACCTCAGCCTCCCAAAGTGCTGGGATTATAGGCATGAGCCACCATGCCCAGCCTGAATATGTCCCCTTTTAAATCAGGAAATGAAAGATCTGCTTGAGAGATTAATTTACTTGTCCAAGGTCACACAGTGTTGGAGCAGCTAGCTACACGAATTAAGGGGTCTCATTTTGAATCTGTTTTTGCCCTCAATCATTAGACTGTTAAGAGACTTCAGTAAGATTTTTGATTTGAAGACTTCTTTCCAACTTTGGGAAAATTCCACCCGGCTCAAAATGAGACTGGATCTGGGATATAACTAGAATCTGATTCTAGTAGCTTCTTCCAGGGCAATTTGGTAGAATGCAGTGGAGCTCTTCTTGCTCTAGGGCTGTCTGACCTGTGTCTGCACTCTATTTCTACTGGGGTACTGACATTATATATCTCTGTTTCTTGGCTTGCAGCAAGTAGCATCTCTGATTGGAGCGGATCCTCGAGAGATCATTTTTACCAGTGGTGCTACTGAATCCAACAACATAGCAATTAAGGTAAGAGAAGGGAACCAGAGGGCATATCTGGGCTTTTCTGACCTGGGAGATAGTGTCCCTCCATCATTTGGATTCGTATATGAATTTCCTAGCCACCCAATCCCACCCTGTTGTGAAGAGAAGGCTTACACTATTTCTGATTTGTTGCTTCCCTTAACCCTTTACAATCTACTCTTTCTTAAGTATTTGCTCCTATTGGTCTGAGTTGAATGAGGTAGTTGGATAGCAGAGGAGGTGGCCCTCAGGCCATTAACCAATTGTTTTTTTTTTGTCTGGCAGTTACTTCAGAGAGTGAATAATGGTGATTGAACCTTTTCTCTTTTCTTTTTATCTAGTAACAGTGAGTTATGTGTGTGATTTTAGGGCTGCCCTCCTCTCAGCCTTCCTTTTTCTTTCAGATCAGATTTGTTTGCAGCAAGTTCCTCCTGTTTCTTTAGATGTCTCCATTTTGAAGTGCTTGTCTTTGTGGTGCCCTTTGCAGGTATTCACATGGTCACCTGTTATGGGTATCATTTTATACTTCATACATAAAAAAATCTTTGGTGCTAATGGAAGCAAAATGCTACTTTTAGTAGTTACTGTTAAAAACAGTGCTTTGAGCCAGGCGCGGTGGCTCAAGCCTGTAATCCCAGCACTTTGGGAGGCCGAGGCCGGTGGATCACGAGGTCGAGAGATCGAGACCATCCTGGTCAACATGGTGAAACCCCGTCTCTACTAAAAAAAAAAAATACAAAAAACTAGCTGGGCATGGTGGCGCATGCCTGTAATCCCAGCTACTCAGGAGGCTGAGGCAGGAGAATTGCCTGAACCCAGGAGGCGGAGGTTGCGGTGAGCCGAGATTGCGCCATTGCACTCCAGCCTGGGTAACAAGAGCGAAACTCCATCTCAAAAAAAAAAAAAACAAAAAACAGTGCTTTGAATGAAGAGACCCCCCAAACAGGCTTTGTGTGAGCAATACGGCTGTTTATTCACCTGGGTGCAGGTGGGCTGAGGCCGAAAAGGGCATCAGCGAAGGGCAGTGGGATAGGAGTTGGTTTTATAGGTTTGGGGTGGTCAGTGGAAAAGTTACAGAGTAAGATCAGTTACAGTGGTAGGGGTAGGGGCAAGGAGTATACATTACGATAAGTTCAGTTACATTGGCGGGTGGGATAAGAGTAGTTATCTTACAAGGTTGGGGGTTGGGGGCTTGGCATAGCTCCACAGGGCGATCAGGGGTGATCAGCCGAGGTAGGCAGGACTTTAGACTTTCTGGGTCCAGGCTTGCACATGGAGTCCTGACAGTCATGTTGGTGTTTCATAGAACATAATCACATTCCTCACTGGGCCTGGTTGCCAGGAGTACTTGAGTAAATGCCAAGGCTTGGAGAAACTGTGGCTTGCTGTAGGTTGAACTCTGGCTCTACTCACTCTCGTCTTTGACTCTGAACTGCGCTGCTAGTGTTGGTTTCTTCGACCTTGGCCTGAATGTAGGAGTCCTAGGACAGGCTCCAGAGTCATCAGCACTCTGCCTGATCAGCAAGAAGGCATCCTTCCTTGGGACTGCAGGGACCAGAGAGTCAGGGTGAAGGTCTCTCCAAAGGTGCAGACGGTTTCTGAAATGAAGAGTATTTTCAAAACCTTGAAAATATTTGCTTTGGAAGTCTCCAGAGATTCCATACCTACAGGATCGCTAAGAGTAGCTGTGATAGTGTTTCTTTTAATCGTGATAATGCATCGAGTAAAATAATCTGTAAGTTATTAAAGAATTCTACATCATGGGTAACTGAGATAAAATAAGATGGGTGGGTGGTGAAATACCATTTAAATTAAATTTTTATAAACAAGTGTAACATTTTGAACTACCCTCACCATCCCCAACCATTTTTACATTCCTGATGTAAATATTTTTTGGGATAAAATAGAGTATAAGTCAATTATAGAAGTTTTCCTTTTGTGTTCCTTATCCTTGTGAACAGACTATTTTTACATAGTTATAATTTTGGCCTATATGGCTTAATATTCTGCTTTATTTTATTTATCTATTTTTTATAAGGCTGAGTCTCATGAGGGCCCAGTTTTTCACACCTGTAATCCCAAGCACTTTGGGAGGCCGAGGCGGGTGCATCACCTGAGGTCAAGAGTTTGAGACCAGCCTAACCTACATGGTGAAACCTGTCTCTACTAAAAATATAAAAATTAGCCAGCCATAGTGGTAGGCGCCTATAATCCCAACTACTCAGAAGGCTGAGGCAGGAGTATTGCTTGAACCTGGGAGGCGGAGGTTGCAGTGAGGTAAGCCGAGATCACACAATTGCACTCCAGCCTGGGGGACAGAGTCAGACTCTGTCACACACACACAAAAGAGACAAGGTCTCACTCTGTCTCCCAGGCTGAGGTGCAGTGGCACATTCACAGCTCACTGCAACCTTGAATTCCTGGCCTCAAGAGATCCCCTCATCTTAGCCTCCCAAGGTAGCTATAGGCCTACAGGCGTGTGCTATGACACCTGGCTAATTTTTTTTTTTTTTTTTTTGAGACGGAGTTTCGCTCTTGTTACCCAGGCTGGAGTGCAATGGTACGATCTCGGCTCACTGCAACCTCTGCCTCCTGGGTTCAGGCAATTCTCCTGCCTCAGCCTCCTCAGTAGCTGGGATTACAGGCACGTGCCACCATGCCCAGCTAAATTTTTTGTATTTTTAGTAGAGGCGGGGTTTCACCATGTTGACCGGGATGGTCTCGATCTCTTGACCTCGTGATCCACCCACCTCGGCCTCCCAAAGTGCTGGGATTACAGGCTTGAGCCACCACGCCCGGCCTACACCTGGCTAATTTTTTAATTTTACTTTTTTAGAGATGGGGTCTCACTATGTTGCCCAGGCTGGTCTTGAACTCCTGGGCTCAAGTGATCCTCCTGCCTTTGCCTCCCAAAGTTCTGGGATTACAGGCTTGAGCCACTGTACCTGGCTTTATATTCTGCTAAATGTAATAGTCTTTTGTAAGCTCTGGGGGTAGATGTACTTTCTTTCAACTTTAATTTTTGAAAAATGATTCTGTCACATATGGTGTGTTTTTTCCAAACCAATGGAAATATTTAAAATGAAATTTAGGCCAGGTGCAGTTGGTCATGTCTGTAATCCTAGCACTTTGGGAACCCAAGGCAGCACTTTGGGAACCCGAGGCAGGCAGGTTGTCTGAGCTCAGGAGTTGGAGGCCACCCAGGGCAACATGGCGAAACCCTGTGTCTACTGAAAGATACAAAAAAATTAGCCAGGCATGGTGGTGCACACTTGTAGTCTCAGCTACTTCGGAGGCTGAGACAAGAGAATTGCTTGAACTTGGGAGGCAGAGGTTGCAATGAGCTGAGATCGAGCCACTGCCCTCTAGCCTGGGTGACAGAACAAGACTGTCTCAAAAAATAAATTAATAAAAATAAAATTAATAAAATAAAATGAACTGTAAATCTTCCTCTCCTTCCCCCAGGAGTCCTAATCCCTGATCCTGTTCTACAAAGTTGATAGTGTTAATTCTTTTTTTTTTTTTGAGAGGGAGTCTCACTCGCACTCTCTCCCAGGCTGGAGTGCAGTGGTGCAATATTGTCTCACTGCAACCTCTGCCTCCAGGGTTCAAGTGATTCTCCTGCCTCAGCCTCCCAAGTAGCTGAGATTAGAGGTGCCTGTCACCATGCCCAGCTAATTTTTGTATTTTTAGTAGAGCCGGGCTTTCCTCATGTTGGCCAGGCTGGTCTCGAACTCATGACCTCAGGTGATCTGCCCACCTTGGCCTCCCAAAGTGCTGGGATTACAGGTGTGAGCCACTGCACCCAGCCTTATCCTGTTAATTGTAAACTAATTTTGTTTAGCATTGTTTCAGGTATGTATGTATATATATATATGTAAAAAATTGTACATATGTGTGAATTTTTTTTTTTTTTTGAAATGAAGTCTCGCTCTGTCACCCAGGCTGGCGTGCAGTGGCAGAATCTCTGCTCATTGCAACCTCTGCATCCCAGGTTCAGGTGATTCTCCTGTCTTAGCCTCCGAGCTGCTGGGATTGCAGGTGCCAACCACCACCCCGGCTAATTTTTGTATTTTTAGTATTGACATGGTTTCATCATGTTGGCCAGGCTGGTCTCGAACTCCTGACCTTAAGTGATCCACTTGCCTTGGCCTCCCAAAGTGCTGAGATTGCAAGTGTGAACCACTGCTCCTGGTCCCCCCCCTTTTTTTTTAATTTTTCTCTTTTTTGAGACAGGGTCTTGCTGTCACCCAGGCTGAAGTGCATTGGCCAGATCTCAGCTCACCACAGCCTTGAACTCTTGGGCTCGGGTGATCCTCCTGAGTAGCTGGGAGTACAGATGTGTACCACCATGCCCAGCTGGTCTCGAAATCATGAGCTCAAGCGATCCTCCTGCTTTAGCCTCCCAAAGTGGTAGGATTATAGGCGAGCCACTACTGCATCCAGCCCTTTTTTCCCTTTTTTTTTTTGAGATGGAATCTCGCTCTGTTGCCCAGGCTAGAGTGCAATGGCATGGTCTTGGCTCACTGCAATCTCTGTCTTCTGGGTTCAAGTGATTCTCCTGCCTCAGCCTTCTGAGTGGCTCTGACTACAGGCACCTGCTGTTGTGCCTGCCTAATTCTTGGCCTTAGGCGATTCAGCCGACTTGGCCTCCCAAAGTACTGGGATTACTGGCCTGAGCCACTACACCTGGACCCTTTTTTTTTTTTTTCTTAAATGAGATGAATGGTTCTTAATTTTCTTGTAATAGTTGAAAATCCAGGAATTCTTAAACGTACCTTTATTGTTTCTTTTTTCTTTTTTTTTTTTTTTTTTGAGACGGAGTTTCGCTCTTGTTACCCAGGCTGGAATGCAATGGCACGATCTTGGCTCACAGCAACCTCCACCACCTCCTGGGTTCAGGCAATTCTCCTGCCTCAGCCTCCTGAGTAGCTGGGATTACAGACACGTGCCACCATGCCCAGCTAATTTTTTGTATTTTTAGTAGAGACAGGGTTTCACCATGTTGACCAGGATGGTCTCGATCTCTTGACCTCATGATCCACCTGCCTCGGCCTCCCAAAGTGCTAGGATTATAGGCTTGAGCCACCGCGCCCGGCCCTATTGTTTCTTCTGATATTAAAAGTAACACATACTCATGACTTGTTTACTGTTATATGGCTGGCACCTAGAAAATCACTTGGTGGGCCGGGTGCGGTGGCTCACGCCTGTAATCCCAGCACTTTGGGAGGCTGAGGCGGGTGAATCACGAGGTCAGGAGATCGAGACCATCCTGGTCAACATGGTGAAACCCTGTCTCTACTAAAAATACAAAAATTAGCTGGATATGGTGGCACATGCCTGTAGTCCCAGCTACTCCAGAGGCTGAGGCAGAATTGCTTGAACCCAGGAAGCGGAGGTTGTGGTGAGCCAAGATCGTGCCATTGCATTCCAGGCTGGGTAACAAGAGTGAAACTCCATCTCAAAAAAAAAAAAGGAAAATCACTTGGTGGCCAGGCGCAGTGGCTCATGCCTGTATTTCCAGCACTTTGGGAAGCTGAGGCAGGCAGATCACAAGGTCAGGAGTTCGAGACCAGCCTGGCCAATATGGTGAAATACTATCTCTACTAAAAATACAAAAATTAGCGGGGCATGGTGGCGGGCGCCTGTAGTCCCAGCTACTCAGAAGGCTGATGCAGGAGAATTGCTTGAACCTCAGAGATGGAAGTTGTTGCAGTGAGCCAAGATAGTGCCACTTCACTCCAGCCTGGCTACAGAGCAAGACTTTGTTTTTTTTTGTTTTTTTTTTTTTTTTTTTTTTTTTTTTTTTTCTGAGACGGAGTTTCGCTCTTGTTAACCCAGGCTGGAGTGCAATGGCACGATCTCGGCTCACCGCAACCTCCGCCTCCTGGGTTCAGGCAATTCTCCTGCCTCAGCCTCCTGAGTAGCTGGGATTACAGGCACGTGCCACCATGCCCAGCTAATTTTTTGTATTTTTAGTAGAGACGGGGTTTCACCATGTTGACCAGGATGGTCTCGATCTCTTGACCTCGTGATCCACCCGCCTCGGCCTCCCAAAGTGCTGGGATTACAGGCTTGAGCCACCGCGCCCGGCCAAGACTTTGTTTTTTTGTTGTTTTTGTTTTTTTTTTTAGAAAATCACTTGGCAAGGCCGGGCGCGGTGGCTCAAGCCTGTAATCCCAGCACTTTGGGAGGCCGAGGCGGGTGGATCACGAGGTCGAGAGATCGAGACCAACCTGGTCAACATGGTGAAACCCCGTCTCTACTAAAAATACAAAAAATTAGCTGGGCATGGTGGTGCGTGCCTATAATCCCAGCTACTCAGGAGGCTGAGGCAGGAGAATTGCCTGAACCCAGGAGGCGGAGGTTGAGGTGAGCCGAGATCGCGCCATTGCACTCCAGCCTGGGTAACAAGAGTGAAACTCCGTCTTAAAAAAAAAAATAAAAAAAATAAAAAATAAAAAATAAAAGAAAATCACTTGGCATATTATAGGTGCTAAATACTGGTTTAATGAATGAAACATAAATCTTCCAGGAATATAGAGTAGAACTCTCTAAAAACATAATCACTGTTTTTTGTTTTTTTTTTTTTTTTTTTTTTTTTGAGACGGAGTTTCGCTCTTGTTACCCAGGCTGGAGTGCAATGGCGCGATCTCGGCTCACCGCAACCTCCGCCTCCTGGGTTCAGGCAATTCTCCTGCCTCAGCCTCCTGAGTAGCTGGGATTACAGGCACGTGCCGCCATGCCCAGCTAATTTTTTGTATTTTTAGTAGAGACGGGGTTTCACCATGTTGACCAGGATGGTCTCGATCTCTCGACCTCCTGATCCACCCGCCTCGGCCTCCCAAAGTGCTGGGATTACAGGCTTGAGCCACCGTGCCCGGCCTATCACTGTTAATTTGCTGTATATTTCTCCAGATTTTTAACTAATTACATTAATCTGTATACTATTGTTATTTCAGTAGACTTTATTTTTTATAGCAGTTTTAGGTTCACAGCAATTGAAAGGAAGGTACAGAAATTTTCCATATATGCCCTGCCCTCAGGCATGCACAGCCTTCTGCCATTATTAGTATCCTCCATCAAGTGATACATTTGTTCCAATTGATGAACTGATATTGATACATCATTATCACCCAAAGTTCATAGTTTACATGAAGATTCACTGGTGTTGTACATTCTGTGGTTTTGTACAAATATTAGTTATTCTAATGAATTATTGAACTTGAGGGGCGTTCAGGAAGCCCTGAATTTGTAGTTGGCTGGGCAGAGTATGGGTAGCTCAAGAGACCTGGGATTTATATCTGGCATCTGAATTAGGGGCAGTCCTGTGCAATTGAGCCCTTAACTCATGGGGTTTTCACTAAGTCTGGGGTGTTAGCCTCAGAATTGAATTATATGATACTCAGTTCGTATCAGAGAACTGGTGTTGGAGCATACTGTTCTTGCCCACTTTTTCTTTACAAATGAGATCAAAGTCTTTGCTGTCTCTCTGAGTATGTTCTCCTTCCATCTACCCCCACCAATTTCTAGGGGGTGGCCCGGTTCTACAGATCACGCAAAAAGCACTTGATCACCACCCAGACAGAACACAAATGTGTCTTGGACTCCTGCCGTTCACTGGAAGCTGAGGGCTTTCGGGTCACCTACCTCCCAGTGCAGAAGAGTGGGATCATTGACCTGAAGGTAGGAGTGGCTATTGGCATGAGGAGCAATAATAGAGGAGCCTGGCTTCAGCTTGTAAATTTTTCTCTTGGGCTCTAACTGGAGCTTGAAGGACTAGATCTAACATTTAGGGTGGGATTTAGAGAAATAGGCCTGGTGTAGAAAGATATCATGTTCCCCTTGAGTGTATACTGTCCTTTTCTCTGGAGGATTTGTTTCTTTCTTTTTTCTTTTCTTTTTTTTTATTTTGAGATGGAGTCTTGCTCTGTTGCCCAGGCTAGAGTGCAGTGGTCTGATCTCAGCTCACTGCAACCTCTGGAGGACTTGTTTCTTTGTTTCTTTTTTTTTTTTTTTGAGACAGAGTTTCGCTCTTGTCACCCAGGCTGGAATGCGGTGGCATGATCTAGACTCACTGCAACCTCCGCCTCCTGGGTTCTAGTGATTTTCCTGCCTCAGTCCCCCAAGTAGCTGGGATTATAGGCGCATGCCACCACACCCAGCTAATTTTTGTTTGTTTGTTTGTTTGTTTGTTTGTTTGTTTTGAGATGGAGTTTCGCTCGTTACCCAGGCTGGAGTGCAATGGCGCGATCTCAGCTCACCGCAACCTCCGCCTCCTGGGTTCAAGCAGTTCTCCTGCCTCAGCCTCCCAAGTAGCTGGGACTACAGGCATGCGCCACCAGGCCCAGCTAATTTTTGTATTTTTAGTAGAGTCGGGGTTTCACCATGTTGACCAGGATGGTCTCGATTTCTTGACCTCGTGATCCACCCGCCTCAGCCTCCCAAAGTGTAATTTTTGTATTTTTAGTAGAGGCGGGGTTTCACCATGTTGGTCAGGCTGGTCTCGAACTTCTGATCTCAGATGATCCACCTATCTTGGCCTCTCAAAGTGCCGGGATTACAGGTGCGAGCCACTGTGCCCGACCTGGAAGACATGTTTCTTACCATTGTTGGTGTTTTCTGGTTTGTATGAAAACCACTGGCCACATGTGCAGGATGCCAGGGACTCACATTCACCCATGGCGAAGCTCTGGCCTCCTTCCCTGCACTGATGCTTCTCATCCTGCTAAAGAAGTATCATTTTCTTTAATCTGTATATTGGCATCGCTATACAAATCCTAACATGTGTTTGTAGATGGACCCCCTCAATCTAAGCTCAAAATTGTTATCATTCATTATTTCCTACCTTTTTCATCTTTTTCACATTCAGTCATCAATCAGTCACACTCATATTTATGGCCGTTTTCTTATAATGTCACTGGAATTATACTTTCCCCTCTCTGACTCCTGCCCTCCCTTCCTCCCTCCCTTCCTTCCTTCTTCCTTCCCTCCCTTCCTCCCTGCTTCTTTTCCTCCCTTCTTCCCTTTCACCCTCCCTCCCTTACTCTTTCTCTCTGTCTCCTTTTCTTTTCTTTCTTTATTTTGGAGACAGGGTCTTGCTGTATTATCCAGGCTAGAATGCAGTGGTATGGTCGTAGCTCACTTCAGCCTCAGACTCCTGGGCTCACCTCACCTGGCTAAATTTTTGTTTTGTTTTGTTTTTTGAGTTGAGATGGAGTATTGCTCTGTCACCCAAGCTGGAATGCAGTGGCAAAATCCAGCTCACTGAAACCTCTGCCTCCTGGATTCAAACTATCCTCCCACCTTAGCTTCCTAAGTAGCTAGGACTACAGGCATATGCTACCACACCCAGCTAATTTTTTTGTATTTTTAGTAGAGAAGGGGTTTTATCATTTTGGCCTGGCTGGTCTCAAACTCTTGACCTCAAGTGATTCACCTGCCGTGGCCCCCCAGAGTGCTGGGATTACAGGCATGAGCCACCGTGCCTAACCTGGCTAAATTTTTTGTTTTGTTTTGTTTTTGGGATGGAGTTTCGCTCTTGTTACCCAGGCTGGAGTGCAATGGAGCCATCTCGGCTCCCTGCAACCTCCGCCTCCTGGGTTCAAGCAATTCTCCTGCCTCAGCCTCCTGAGTAGCTGGGATTACAGGCAAGCGCTACCAGGCCCAGCTAATTTTTGTATTTTTAGTAGAGACGGTGTTTCACCATGTTGACCAGGATGGTTTTGACCTTGTGATCCACCCGCCTCGGCCTCCGAAAGTGCTGGGATTACAGGTGTGAGCCACCGTGCCCGGCCCAAACCTGGCTAAATTTTTAAGCATTTTTTGTAGAGGCAGCATCTCATTATGCTCTCCATGCTGGTGGTGAACTCCTGGACTCAAGTGATCCTCCTACCTTGGCCTCCCAAAGCACTGTGATTACAGATGTGAGCCACCTTGCTCGGCCTCTTCTCATTTCTTTGGCTGGATTCTATCCTGTGTCTTAGCTACCTCTGGACTTTAATTTCTGTTGCCTGAACTAGTCCTTTAGCTACAACCTTCCAGCGTGTCCTGCACATCCTCATCAGACTTTATTTCCAAGTACTCATTTGACCTTTTCTCACTTTACTCAGAAATCTTGAGAGCTTTCTCATTTCCTTTGGCATGAAGCATAACTTCATTTTGCCTGACATTCAGATTTCTTTACATGGTGCTTTTTTTAAGCCCTTAGAAATTTGTGATATAATTCATGTACCATTTAACTTCTAGTTTAATGGAAAAAATAATAATTCATATACCACAAAATTCATCTTTTGAAATTGTACAATTCACTGTTTTTTAATGTACAATTCACAGAGTTTGCAACAGTCATCACTGTCATATTCCAGGACATTTTCATCACTTAAAAAAAGAAAGCTATGTATTTTTTGTTTTGTCATTTGTGGGATTTTTTTTTTTTAAGATGGAGTTTCTCTCTTGTTGCCTAGGCTGGAGTGCAATGGTGGGATCTCTGCTCCCTGCAACCTCTGCCCCCTGGGTTCAAGCAATTCTCCTGTGTTAGCCCCTCCCAAGTAGCTGGGATTACACGCATGCACCAACACACCTGGTTTATTTTGTATGTTTAGTAGAGACGGAGTTTCATCATGTTGGCCAGACTGGTCTAAAACTTTTGACCTCATGATCTGCCCACCTTGGCCTCCCAAAGTGCTGGGATTACAGGCATGAGCCACTGCACCTGGCCAATTTTTATATTTTTAGTAGAGCAGGGGTTTCACCATGTTGGCCAGGCTGGTCTCAAACTCCTGACCTCAGGTGATCTGCCCACCTTGGCCTCTGGAAGTGTTGGGATTACAGGTGTGAGCCACCACACCTGGCAGTTTCTTTAATTTTGTCATTCATCCTGCCATGTAAATGGAATCATACAGTATGTAACCTTGTAGGATTGGCTTTTTTCTTTTTTCTTTTTTGAGATGGAATATCACTCTATCACCCAGGCTGAAGTGCTGTGGCACGATCTTAGCTCACTTCAACCTCTGCCTCCCAGATTCAAGCGATTCTCCCCAAGTAGCTAGGATTACAGGTACGTACCACCACGCCCAGCTAATTTTTGCATTTTTAGTACAGGTAGGGTTTCACCATGCTGGCCAGGCTGGTCTTGAACTCCTGACCTCAGGTGATCCTCCCATCTGGGCCTCCCAAAGTGCTGGGATTACAGGCGTGAGCCACTATATCCACCCTTCTTTTTCTTTATTTTTATTTATTTATTTTTTTGAGACGGAGTTTCGCTCTTGTTACCCAGGCTGGAGTGCAATGGTGCGATCTCGGCTCACTGCAACCTCCGCCTCCTGGGTTCAGGCAATTCTCCTGCCTCAGCCTCCTGAGTAGCGGGAATTATAGGCACGCACCACCATGCCCAGCTAATTTTTTGTATTTTTAGTAGAGACGGGGTTTCACCATGTTGACCAGAATGGTCTCGATCTCTTGACCTTGTGATCCACCCACCTCGGCCTCCCAAAGTGCTGTGATTACAGGCTTGAGCCACCGTGCCCGGCGTCTTCTTTATTTTTTTTGAGGTGGAGTCTCGCTCTGTTGCCTAGGCTGGATTGCATTGGTACGATCTCAGCTCACTGCAACCTCCGCCTCCCAGGTTCAAGCGTTTCTCCTGCCTCAGGCTCCCAGGTAGCTGGGACTATTGGCATGCGCCACCATGCCCAGCTAATTTTTGTATTTTTAGTAGAGACAGAGTTTCTCATGTTAGCCAGGCTGGTCTTGAACTTCTGACCTCAGGTGATCCATCCACCTCAGCCTCCCAGAGTGCTGGGATTACAGGCGTGAGCCACCACGCCTAGCCTTGATTGGCTTTTTTCACTAATCATAAGTCTTTGGGAATTCATTCATTGCTGCATGTGCCAGTAGTTCGTGCCTTTTGATTGATAAGTAGTAGTCCATGTTATGGATATACCAAAATCATCTGTTGAAGGACATCTGAGTAGTTTCTAGGTTTTGGCTATTATGAATAAAGTTACTGTGAACATTTGTGTAAGATGTTTTGTGAATTTAATTTTTATTTCTCTGGGATAAATGCGCACATGTGCAGTTACTGGGTTGTATGGTAATTTTATGTTTAGTTTGATGAGAAACAGAAACTGTCAAACTCTTTTCTAAAGTGGCTGTGACATTTACATTCCCACCAACAATGTATGAATCATTCAGAGTCTGTGCATCCTTACCAACATTCTGTTTTGTCACTGTTTTTTAGTTAACTATTCAGATAGCTATGTAGCATAAGGCTCCTTTTTGCAACTAAGCTTGCCTATATTCTGATTTAGGAGGACTTTGTTTGCACTATCTAGTCACCTTACTCCTGCATATCCTTAGGAACTAGAGGCTGCTATCCAGCCAGATACTAGTCTGGTCTCAGTCATGACTGTGAACAATGAGATTGGAGTGAAGCAGCCTATTGCAGAAATAGGTGAGTATCATGGGTTAACCCTGATCCCTGCCCACCATGGTGGTCTGTATGAGGGAGTAGACTGATCACTGTAATACTCTATGGAGTGAAGTTAGGAAATCAAGGGAAAGAGAGCCTAAGTACTTTGTTCAAGGACATTGTAAGCGGTATAGACAGTATTTGAATTCAGGTCTAGTACCTTTTTTTTTTTTTTAAATTGAGACAGAGTGTCACTCTGTCACCCAGGCTGGAGTGCAGTGGCATGATCTTAGCTCACTGCAACGCCTGCCTCCCGGGCTCAAACAATCCTCCCACCTCAACCTCTCAAGTAACTGAGACTGCAGGTGTGCACCGCCATGCCTAGCTAATTTTTGTATTTTTAGTAGAAACGAGGTTTTACCATGTTGGCCAGACTGGTCTGAAACTCCTAACCTCAGATGATCCACCTGCCTTGGCCTCCTAAAGTGCCGAGATTACGGGCATGAGCCACTGTGCCCAGCCAGGTCTAGTATGTTTTATGGTTTTTCATTTTATTGCAGTTGCTGCCAAAACCAACCACAAAACAAAAAAGCCTTCTACCCTTTTTCCTTTTAGAACATCTTTTTATTATTCCCAGATAGAGCCCACCCTGTAATCTCCTTAGGCACATTAGCACAAAGATCTGTTAGTTTTTTGTTTGTTTGTTTGTTTGTTTAAATCAAAAGGGATCTGGAAGAAAATCTGACCAGCCTGGCCATCATGGTGAAACCCCATCTTTAAAATAAAATAAAATAAAATAAAATAAAAGAATAGTATGCATGATAATATCAGGAGTATTTTGACCTGCTGCTTAGCCCTTCATCTTTTTTATTCTAAAGAAGGGAAGCTGAGGAGACAGAGAGAGGGAGGAAGGGAGAAGGGAGAAGAGGTAAGGAAAAGAAGTATAAGGGGTTCAGTGGAGGGAGGGGAGGAGTTTAATATTGAGAGAGGTCGTTTACTACTGGTGGAGATAATTCACAGTGCATTGTGGGATACTGATACATGACTTCCCAACACTTTGCTGTGGGTCTTCCTCTCTGTTGTTTCCTCAGGGCGGATTTGCAGTTCCAGAAAGGTATACTTCCATACTGATGCAGCCCAGGCTGTTGGAAAAATCCCACTTGATGTCAACGACATGAAAATTGATCTCATGAGCATCAGTGGTCACAAAATCTATGGTCCCAAAGGTACCAGCCCCTTCTAGAGTTCCTCTTCTCTGTACTTTCCAGCAAGACATTTGATAGATGTTTGTCAAAGTCATTTGGGACTACTGTTGGTCTCATAGGAAGTTGTACATTCAGAGTCCCTTGTAGAATGCAAGCGTTATTTAGCAATAGCCAGAAACACTTGCTGGTTTGTAGATGTTGGTAGTTACTATATGGCAGGCCATTCTTTTTTTTTTTTTTTTTTGAGACCGAGTCTCACTCTGTCACCAGGCCGGAATGCAGTGATGCAATCTCTGCTCACTGCAACCTCTGCTCCCGGGTTCAAGTGATTCTTTTGCCTCAGCCTCCCAAGTAACTGGGACTACATGCGTGTGCCACCATGCCCTGCAAAGTTTTGTATTTTTAGCAGAGATGGGGTTTCACCATGTTGGCCAGGATGGTCTTGATCTCTTGACCTCGTGATCTGCCCACCTTGGCTTCCCAAAGTGTTGGGATTACAGGCATGAGCCATTGTGTCCAGGCGACAGCAGGCCATTCTATCTTGCTCTCTTTAACAAATCCTTATGGAGTCTTGCTCTTGTTCCCCAGGCTGTAGTGCAGTGACGCCATCTCTGCTTACTGCAAACTCCACCTCCCGGGTTCCAGCGATTCTCCTGCCTCAGCCTCCCAAGTAGCTGGGATTACAGGCACCTGCCACTATGCCTGGCTAATTTTTGTATATTTAGTAGAGACAAGGTTTCACCACGTTGTCCAGGCTGTCTCAAACTGCTAACCTTGTGATCCGCCTGCGTCAGCCTCCCAAAGTGCTGGGATTGCAGGCGTGAGCCACTGCACCCGGCTCAAACATGTAGATCTTAATTTGATTGAGGAAAAAGAGGTTTTATGGTATCAAATTTATCTAGTTGGGCCCAGCTATCTTGTTTGCCCCACTGTGATGTACAGAGCAACTATGTGAGTCTTCATTCCAAGTGTCTTGCTATGGCTTGAAGATTGCATGGGATTTCACATCCCTTTGTGTTTATTCTTAGAAGACTTTGTAGTCTGTTATCCTAATATTCTCTCAAGGATACCTGTTTGTTCCCTATGGTCCTATTGGAATGTGTTCAAGCTTGAGTTACGTCTCTTTCCCTGAGCCCTTGAGGATAGTCCTCTGTTTTATGGAGGTAACCATAAAAAAATAACTCCTCTTTCTCACATGAGGGCTTTTTTTGGGTTGATGTCTATGCTGGCACCCTTTTTGTGTCTGCAGGGTGTGTTTTCTGGGTGTATACCTTGTGGAAGAAGGTGTAATAGCTTCTTGAAGTATGGAAGATGGTTTCTTTTAAGGGTTCCCAGAGGTTGTAAAGAGTGTTTTTTTTGTGAGCTGTTATTTCAAAACCCCAGTAAGCATTCTATCTATTACTAAAGTGTTGTTTTTATTGGCTTTTATTGTAGATATATCTTTTTTATAAAACCAATGAACTCAGGTTGGATACCCCTGTTTTGTTTTTTTTTTTTTTTCTTTCTTTCTTTTTTTGAGACAGAGTTTCGCTCTTGTCACCCAGGCTGGAGTGCAATGGCGCAATCTCGGCTCATTGCAACCTCCGCCTCCTGGGTTCAAGCAATTCTCCTGCCTCAGCCTCCCAAGTAGCTGGGACTACAGGTGTGTGCCACCATGCCCAGCTAATTTTTGTATTTTTAGTAGAGGCAGGGTTTCACCATGTTGACCAGGATGGTCTCGATCTCTTGACCTCGTGATCCACCCGTCTCAGTCTCCCAAAGTGCTGGGATTACAGGTGTGAGCCACTGCGCCCGGCCTTTTTTTTTCTTTCTTTTTCTTTTTTTTTTTTCTAGCCTGCTCCTCCAAATTCTACCAGGGATACCCCTGTTCTTCCTAATATGCTTAATTCACATTATATGCCTGTATTAAAACATCTCATGTACTCCATAAATATATACACCTAATATGTATTCACACAAATTAAAAAACAAAACAAAAAACTAATGAACTCATTGATCAGAATCTCTGATCAGCACTTACATGTGTACAGGTATCCCTCATTATCCAGCCTCCTGCTTTCCAAATTCAGGATCTAAATAGATTTAGATAATGTGATATTCTTCACTGCCCAGATATAGTATTTGAGCACTTGCTGTTTGAATTTGGGAATTGTATAGACTCAGATATCAGATAGTAAAATGGAGAAATGAAAGAATAATTTTTTTTGAGACAGAGTCTCACTCTGTCTCCCAGGCTGGAATGCAGTAGCATAATCTCAGCTCACTGCAACCTCTGCCTCCTAGGTTCAAGTGATTCTCCTGCCTCAGCCTCCTGAGTAGCTGGGACTACAGGTGTTTGCCACCATGCCCAGCTAATTTTTTGTATTTTCAGTAGAGACAGGGTTTCACTGTGTTAACCAGAACATTATTTTATTTATTTGTTTTATTTATTTATTTATTTATTTATTTTGAGATGGAGTCTCACTCTGTCACCAAGGCTGGAGTGCAGTGGCGTGATCTCGGCTCACTGCAACCTCTGCCTCCCAGGTTCAAGCAGTTCTCCTGGTTCAGCCTCCTGAGTAGCTGGGACTACAGGCTCTTGCCACCATGACTGGCTAATTTTTTTATGTTTTCAGGAGCGACGGGGTTTCACCATGTTAGCCAGGGTGGTCTCGATCTCCTGACCTTATGATCCACCCACCTCAGTCTCCCAAAGTACTGAGCCACCTTGTCAGACTGAAATAATTCTTAATAAATACAGTTTAATATATTATTTTATTCATTTTATTTATTTATTTATTTATGTATTTTGAGACGGAGTCTCACTCTGTCGCCCAGGCTGGAATGCTGGGGCATGATCTCAGCTCACTGCAAACTCTGCTTCATGGATTCAAGCAATTCTCTGCTTCAGCCTCCTGAGTAGCTGGGATTACACCACACCCTGCTAAATTTTTGTACTTTTAGTAGAAATGGGGTTTCACCAACTTGGCTAGGCTGGTCTTGAACTCCTGACCTCGTGTTCCACCCACCTCATCCTCCCAAAGTGCTGAGATTATAGGCGTGAGCCACTGTACCCTGCCTATTCATTTATTTTTTAGAGACAAGGTCTAACTTTGTTGCTCAGGCTGGAGTGTAGTGGTGCTATCCTAGCTTGCTGCTCTTCAATTTCCTTGGCTTAAACAACCCTCCTACCCCAGCCTCACCAGTAACTAGCACTACAGGTGTGCACCACCATGCCTGACTGATTTTTAAAATAGGTTTTGTAAGGCCGGGCGCAGTGGCTCAAGCTTGTAATCCCAGCACTTTGGGAGGCCGAGGCGGGTGGATCACAAGGTCGAGAGATCGAGACCATCCTGGTCAACATGGTGAAACCCCGTCTCTACTAAAAAAATACAAAAAATTAGCTGGGCATGGTGGCACGTGCCTGTAATCCCAGCTACTCAGGAGGCTGAGGCAGGAGAATTGCCTGAACCCAGGAGGCAGAGGTTGCGGTGAGCCGAGATCGCGCCATTGCACTCCAGCCTGGGTAATAAGAGCAAAACTCTGTCTAAAAAAAAAAAAAAAAAAAGTTTTGTAGAGATGGATGTCACCCTATGTTGCTCAGGCTTGAACTCCTGATCTCAAGCAACCTTCCCACCTAAGTCTCCCAAAGTGCTGGGATTACAGGCATGACCCACTGCACCCAGCTTCTAATTCAAAATCTGGTGTCCTTCGTAATACATTTGGAAACCACTGCCTTAATTTTTATAGTACCTCTATTCTCGGCATAAACAGTTTTTCTGTGTGGGAAAAGAACTGTCAAATGCCCATTCTATTCAGAAGCCCTGATTACTTAGTGAATAACTTTGCATGCTCATGCTCATATTTTGGTACAAGTTTTCCATAAGTAGGCTTGTTTAGTCACAGGTTATACACATTTTCAAGTTTTTTGTTTTTTGAGTGAAGGTTTCACTCTGTTGCCCAACCAGGAATGCATTGAGTGGTACAATCACAGCTCACTGCAGCCTTACCTCCTAGGCTCAAGTGATCCTCCTGCCTCAGCCTCCAGAGTCACTGGGACTATAAGTACATGCCACTGTGCCCAGCTAATTTTTAATTTTCCTTTGTAGACATGGGGTCTCACTATGTTTCTTAGGCTGGTCTCAAACTTCTGGTCTTAAGTGATTCTTGGTCTCCCAAAGTCCTATGATTATAGTCGTGAGCCACCACGACCCACCAGTTTTTTTTTTTTTTTTTTTTTTTTAGAGACAGAGTTTTACTCTTGTTTCCCAGGCTGGAGTGCAATGGCATGATCTTGGCTCATGGCAGCCTCCACCACCCGGGTTCAAGTGATTCTCCTGCCTCAGAGTAGCTGAGATTACAGGCATGTACCACCACACCCAGTTAATTTTGCAATTTTAATAGAGACAGGGTTTCTCCATGTTGGTCAGGCTGGTCTCAAACTCCCGACCTCAGGTTATTAGCCCACCTCGGCCTCCCAAAGTGCTGGGATTACAGGCCTGAGCCACTGCGCCCTGCCCTATTTTTTTTAATTTTAGTTTTAATTTTATTTCAGAAAAGTAATATTCATGTGGTTCAAAATTCAAAGCTACCTAAAAGTGCACAGACAAAAGTCTACCTCTCACCCCTGTCCTCCAGCTATGCAGTTCCCTTCTGGGGAGGTAATTTCTTTCTTTCTTTTTTTTTTTTTTCTGATTTACTCTGGTTATGGGGAGGTAATTTCTTGGGTTTTCTACAATTATCCTATTTGTTTACAAACAAATATATACTTCCCTTCCATCTTTCTTTTTTTATTCAGATGATAGCATACTGTACTCACTGTTTTGATCTTGCTTTTTTCACCTAATAATAAGTGTTTTTTAAAAACTAAAGTACAGGCCGGGTGCGGTGGCTCAAGCCTGTAATCCCAGCACTTTGGGAGGCCGAGGCGGGTGGATCACAGGGTCGAGAGATCGAGACCATCCTGGTCAATATGGTGAAACGCTGTCTCTACTAAAAATACAAAAAATTAGCTGGGCATGGTGGCGTGTGCCTGTAATCCCAGCTACTCAGGAGGCTGAGGCAGGAGAATTGCCTGATGCCAGGAGGCGGAGGTTGCAGTGAGCCAAGATCATGCCATTGCACTCCAGCCTGGGTGACAAGAGTGAAACTCTGTCTCAAAAAAAAAAAAAAAAAAAAAAAAACTAAAGTACAAACTTTATTTGGATTTCACCAGTTTTCTAACAATGTATCTTGGTATCTTGGAGATTTTATGGTGTCAGTTCAGAACAAGCTTCCTCTTTTTTTTTTTTTCTGAGACGGAGTCTGGCTGTGTCACCCTGGGATAGGCTGGAGTGCTGTGGCATTAATCTCAGCTAACTGGCCGGGCGCGGTGGCTCAAACCTGTAATCTCAGCACTTTGGGAGGCCGAGGCGGGTGGATCACGAGGTCGAGAGATTGAGACCATCCTGGTCAACATGGTGAAACCCCGTCTCTACTAAAAATACAAAAAAATTAGCTGGGCATGGTGGCACGTGCCTGTAATCCCAGCTACTCAGGAGGCTGAGGCAGGAGAATTGCCTGAACCCGGGAGGCAGAGGTTGCGGTGAGCCGAGATCGCGCCATTGCACTCCAGCCTGGTTAACAAGAGCGAAACTCCGCCTCAAAAAATAAAAAATAAAAATAATAATAAATTTAAAAAAAAATCTCAGCTAACTGCAACCTCCACATCTTGGGTTCATTTCCTATCTCAGCCTCCCGAGTAGCTGGGATTACAGGCGCTCACTACCACACCTGGCTAATCTTTGTATATTTAGTAGAGACATAGTTTCACCGTGTTGGCCAGGCTGGTTTCAAACTCCTGACCTGAGGTGATCCGCCCTCCTTGGCCTCCCAAAGTGTGGGGATTACAGGTATGAGCCACCATGCCTGGCCCCCTCATTCTTTTACACACCTACTTGATATATTATTGTATGAACATGCCATAATCTATTTGACATTACCCTGATGATAAACATCTAAGTTGTTTCCAATCGTTTTACTATTATGAATAATACTGTATGTATGATGGCATTTCATATAGCATAGGGAGCTACTTTAAACGATTTTGATCATTACTCCTTCTGGTATTTATATTCCAGGTGTTAAATCATTTTGCTAAATATTATGCTTTAAGTGCTATTTCTTCTTTTCCTTAAATTTTTTTAATTAGAAAAATGTCACACTTACAGAAAAGTTGAAATAATATTTTGATCCCTTTGGAAAGTGATATTTTGTTTTAACTATGTTTCTCTCTTTCTCTTTTTTGTAACAAACTTTGTTTCCCAGGGGTTGGTGCTGTCTACATCCGTCGCCGGCCCCGTGTTCGTGTGGAGGCCCTGCAGAGTGGAGGGGGGCAGGAGCGGGGTATGCGGTCTGGGACAGTGCCCACACCCTTAGTGGTGGGGCTGGGGGCTGCGTGTGAGGTGGCACAGCAAGAGATGGAGGTATGGGGAGAGCAGTTCCCTCCCACAAGTTCTTCCCCTGTGCTGGGTCTCCTATTTAGAGGCTTCTCAGCATGACTGAGGCAGATTTCTGCTGAGAGAGAGGGCTTAAGAAAACTCTTCCTTGGCTGGGCAAGGTGACTCATGCCTGTAATCCCAGCACTTTGGGAAGCCGAGGCGGATGGATCATAAGGTCAGGAGTTCTAGTCCAGCCTGACCAACATGGTGAAACCCTGTCTCTACTAAATACAAAAATTAGCCAGGTATGGTGGTGCATCCCTGTAATCCCAGCTTCTCAGGAGGCTGAGGCAGGAGAATTGATTGAACCCGGGAGGTGGAGGTTGCAGTGAGCTGAGATTGTGCCACTGCACTCTAGCCTGGGTGACAGAGCAAGACTCTGTCTCAAAAAAAAAAAAAAAGGCCAGGCGCAGTGGCTCATGCCTGTAATCCCAGCACTTTGGGAGGCCGAGGCGGGTGGATCACGAGGTCAACAGATCGTGACCATCCTGGCCAACATGGTGAAACCCCATCTCTACTAAAAGTACAAAAAATTAGCTGGGCATGGTGGCACGTGCCTATAATCCCAGCTACTCGGGAGGCTGAGGCAGGAGAATTGCCTGAACCCAGGAGGCAGAGGTCACGGTGAGCCGAGATCGTGCCATTGCACTCTAGCCTGTGTAACAAGAGCGAAACTCCATCTCAAAAAAAAAAAAAAGAAAAGAAAAGAAAACTCTTCCTTGTCCTGGTGCTGCTGCTGGTACCTTGTTCTGAATTCTCAGGGAGGCATTATAGGCTCCAAAACCCATGCCCTTTTAGTAGTTATCAGCTCATTTATTTCTGGATTAGTAACTGAACCCTGTATCCAGTTATCAAGCACCTTTTATATTCCAGGCACTATGCTCAGTACTGGAGATACAGTGGTCTCCATGAGTAAAATAAGATGAGAGGTGGGGCTGACACATAGTCACTTCCAGTTATAGGAGAAGGGCTTCTTAAACTATGTGTTTCTGAGCTGGTCGATGATTACTGCTTAATCCTTCCTTGCCTGCTCCTTAGTATGACCACAAGCGGATCTCAAAGTTAGCAGAGCGGCTGATACAGAATATAATGAAGCGCCTTCCAGATGTGGTGATGAATGGGGACCCTGAGCATCATTATCCTGGTATGGACTTGCCCTTTCTATTTTCATTCTAGCAGAGGCTGAGACTCTGAGACCTCTCTCATAGTATTTCTTTCCTCCAGGCTGTATCAACCTCTCCTTTGCATATGTGGAAGGGGAGAGTCTGCTGATGGCACTGAAGGATGTTGCCTTATCCTCAGGGAGGTGAGCTGGACAGCATAGACAGGGCCTGCATTAGGGCCACTTAGAACGGTCATACAGGCTGTTAAGCTTCCCAGTGTGGAGATGACAGGCACAAGAGCTCTTGATTAAGGGTAAAGGTCATTTTGGAAGGTCCTCTTTTTTATTTGGTTGGCTGGGTAGCTGGGTACAGGCTGAAGTTTACCACCCTAGGAATGCTTCCTGGGGTAGAATTTTGTGCCCTTTTTTTTTTTTTTTTTTTTTTTTTTTTTTGAGACAGAGTCTCACTCTGTTGCTCAGTCTTGGAGTGCAATGGTGCAGTCTTGGCTGACTGCAGTCTCCGCCTCCTGAGTTCAAGCAATTCTCCAGGCTCAGCCTCCCGAGTAGCTAGGATTACAGGTGCTTGCCACCATGCCCAGCTAATTTTTGTATTTTCAGTAGAGATAGGTTTCACCATGTTAGCCAGGCTGGTCTCAAACTCCTGACTTTGTGATCCGTCCACCTCAGCTTCCCAAAGTGCTGGGATTTCAGGTGTGAGCCACCATGCCCAGCCAGAATTTTGTGCCTTTTATGGTCCCAAGGGATATATATATCTGTCCTGGGGTTACACTAGCAGTTCTGTTACAGGCCTCCAGAATTGAAGATGCTCCAAAGGCCACTAAGGGTTTAGCTGCCCTTCAGGCTGGTGCCAATGGTATATTGTGTCCTGGGGAAGTGAGCACATGGTCCTCTGCTGTCTCTTCTTGTCAAACCCAGTTCATGTGGTATCATGCTCTGTTATACTTTGCCAGCATCCTTGCTCAAGGAAGTCATCCACCATAGGGGCCAGAGGAACTAGGTTCACACATCCTAGGATGTGCAGGGCAGCATCAGGTCCTTTTGCTTTGCCAGATTAGAAGGTCTCTTTCGTCTCCATGGTGTGACTCGAGGGCCCTGGGGGATGAGTACAAGACTGAGGATTTGTGACTAAAAGTAGATGTTGATGATGAACTGAACAAGGCTTGTGTCTCTCTCCTCAGTGCCTGCACCTCTGCATCCCTGGAGCCCTCTTATGTCCTTAGAGCAATTGGCACTGATGAGGATTTAGCACACTCTTCTATCAGGTCAGTGAGTTGAGCTGCAACATTTATGAAAGACATCCTCTTATATTTTTCATATCCTATTACAGTTTTTTTTATTTTTCCGCCGTGATGCTTTTCTCAATTTAGTTCTTCTTATCTCTTCTAATAACCTTGTGAAAGTTTCTAGAGCAGTGAGTCTCAGACTTCATTGAGTATCACCTGAGAAGTTTGTGAAATATTATGATATCTGAGTCCCACATTCAGATATTTTGATTTGCTAGGTTTGGAGGAGGAGTAGGAAGCATCTCAACATCACAGGTGATTTTAATGTGGGTGGTCTGTAGACCGTGTTTTGAGACTGTTGCCCAGGCTGGAGTGCAATGTCTTGATCTCGGCTTATTCCAACCTCTACCTTGCAGGTTCAAGCAATTCTCCTGCCTCAGCCTCCTGAGTAGCTGGGGTTACAGACATGTGCCACCACACCCAGCTAATTTTTGTGTTTTTAGTAGAGATGGGGTTTCACCATGTTGGCTAGGCTGGTCTTGAACTCCTGAGCTCAAGTAGTCCGTCCACCTCAGCCTCCCAAAGTGCTGGAATTACAGGTGTGAGCCACCGTGCCCAGCTGATCTGTATACCATGCTCTGAGAAACTCTGCCCTAAAGGGGAAGGACCATGTTCTTCTCCCCATGTCTCTTGTGTTGTAGATCCTCAGTGAGTATTTGCGGAATGAGTTTTCCCAGTGCCAGAGCTCTTATAGGGAGCCATTCTCCTGTGACTTTTTTCAGGTTTGGAATTGGCCGCTTCACTACAGAGGAGGAAGTGGACTACACCGTGGAGAAGTGCATTCAGCATGTGAAGCGTCTTCGAGAAATGAGGTAAACATACTGTATCAGAGAACCTTTGGAAGAAACACTAGTGCTGTCTCCCCTCTTGTCCTTAGGCTATATGTTTACACTGCCAAAACCAAAGTTCAAGAGTACTTGGATTTTAGGATTTAGAGATTCCACAAAGCAAGAAAGCGGATCTTCTTGACTACTTGTCTTCACAATGAGAAAGTGTTTTTAAAAACTATAGAACTAGGGCCGGGCGCGGTGGCTCAAGCCTGTAATCCCAGCACTTTGGGAGGCTGAGATGGGTGGATCACGAGGTCAAGAGATTGAGACCATCCTGGTCAACATGGTGAAACCCCATCTCTACTAAAAATACAAAAAATCAGCTGGGCATGGCGGCGCGTGCCTGTAATCCCAGCTACTCAGGAGGCTGAGGCAGGAGAATTGCTTGAACCCAGGAGGCAGAGGTTGCGGTGAGCTGAGATCACGCCATTGCACTCCAGCCTGGGTAACAAGAGTGAAACTTCGTCTCAAAAAAACAAACAAACAAACAAACAAAAAAAACTATAGAACTAGATGAATGCAAGTAGTAGGTTTTTTTTGGAGACAAGTCCTTGCTCTGTCATCCAGGCTGGCATGCAGTGGTGCAATCATACCTCACAGCAACTTGTGCCTCCCAAGCTCAAGTAATCCTCCCACCTCAGCCTCCCAAGTAGCTGGGACTACAGGTATGTACCACCATGCCTGGCTAATTTTTGTATTTTTTGTAGAGATGGAGTTTTGCTATGTTTCCCAGGCTGGTCTCAAACTCCCAGGCTCAAGCAGTCCTCCTGCATTTGGCCTTCCAAAGTGCTGGGATTACCAGCACAAGCCACCAGACCCAGGTAGAATTTTTCAGTATGATTATTATTATCTTTTTTTTTTTTTTTTTTTTTTTTGAGACAGAGTTTCACTCTTGTTGCCCAGGTTGGAGTGCAGTGGCATGATCATGGTTCACTGCAACCTCCGCACTCCAGGTTCAAGCTAGGGGTTACAGGCATGCACCAGCACGCCTGGCTAATTTTGTATTTTTTACTAGAGATGGGGTTTCTCCATGTTGGTCAGGCTGGTCTTGAATTCTCGACCTCAGTTGATCCACCCACCTCGGTCTCCCAAAGTGCTGCGAATATAGGCATGAGCCACTGTGCCTGGCCAGATTATTATTATCTTGAGAGACAGTGTCTCATTCTGTTACCCAGGCTGGAGTGCAAGTGGCACAATCATAGCTCAGTGTAACCTAAGACTCTTGGGCTCAAGTTATCCTCCTGCCTCAAACTCCCAAATAGCTAGGACTACAGTTGTGTGCCTCCACGCCTAGCTAATTTTAAAAATATTTTTTGTAGAGATGGGGGTCTCACTGTGTTGTCCAGGCTGGTCTTGAACTCCTGGGATCAAGCCATCCTCTTGCCTTGGCCTCCCAAAGTACTGGGATTACAGGCATGAGCCACTGTGCCCAGCCCCTCATTATTTTAGTGGTAGTATTAATAGTTGTCATTGGCCGGGCGCGGTGGCTCAAGCCTGTAATCCCAGCACTTTGGGAGGCCGAGGCGGGTGGATCACGAGGTCAAGAGATCGAGACCATTCTGGTCAACATAGTGAAACCCCGTCTCTACTAAAAATACAAAAATTAGGCCGGGCGCGGTGGCTCAAGCCTGTAATCCCAGCACTTTGGGAGGCCGAGGCGGGTGGATCACAAGGTCAAGAGATCGAGACCATCTTGGTCAACATGGTGAAACCCCGTCTCTACTAAAAATACAAAAAAAATAGCTGGGCATGGTGGTGCGTGCCTGTAATCCCAGCTACTCAGGAGGCTGAGGCAGGAGAATTGCCTGAACCCAGGAGGCGGAGGTTGCAGTGAGCCGAGATCGCGCCATTGCACTCCAGCCTGGGTAACAAGAGCGAAACTCCGTCTCAAAAAAAAAAAAAAAAAAAAAAAAAAAATACAAAAATTAGCTGGGCATGGTGGCGTGTGCCTGTAATCCCAGCTACTCAGGAGGCTGAGGCAGGAGAATTGCCTGAACCCAGGAGGCGGAGGTTGCGGTGAGCCGAGGTCACGCCATTGCACTCCAGCCTGGGTAACAAGAGCGAAACTCCGTCTCAAAAAAAAAAAAAAAAAAATAGTTGTCATTGTAGCACTATCAATACATAATTAGTGGTTTATAGACTAAGTATAGAAAAACTCTCTTTAAGATAGGGATTAATGGCTGGGAGTGGTGGTTCACGCCTGTAATCTCAGCACTTTGGGAGGCCGAGGTAGACAGATTACTTGAGGTCAGGAGTTCAAGACCAGCCTATCCAACATGGTGAAACCCTGTCTCTACTAAAAATATAAAAATTAGCCAGGCATGGTGGCACATGTCTGTAACCCCAGCTACTCAGGAGGCTGAGGCAGGAGAATTGCTTGAACTCTGGAGTCGGAGGCTGCAGTGAGCAAAGATCTTGCCATTGCACTCCAGTCTGGGTGACAAAGCGAGATGCCGTCTCAATAAAAAAAAGAAGACAGGGATTCATAATTTGAGTCCTATGGCTAGATTCAGGAGGTATATAGTAGCTTTGAAATTGTATGCTAAGTATTGTACAGTTGTGTATTTTCCTTGGAAGAAAGTGTGTAATTGCATTGGATTTTCAAAAGGTTTAGAACTAATACTCAGGCTGAGTGTGGTGGCTCATGCCTGCAATCCCAGCGCTTTGGAAAGAGGCTGAGAGGAAGGCAAATTGCTTGAGCCCAGTTGTTCAAGAACAGCCTATGTAGATTGCTTGAGCCCAGGAGTTCAAGACCAGCCTAGGCAACATCGTGAAACCCCCATCTCTATTTAAAAAAAAGAACCACTACTCAGAGCTTTTTTTGTAAAAGTAATGAGATTCTTGGCCACTCAGCTGGCACCAGCACTTCCCTAGTAGCCACAGAGCTCATCTTCCTCCTGGGAACCTTGAGCCCTCCGGATTTTTTCAGAGCCTGGCTCTGTCTTGGTTAACTTTGGCTTTCAGGATTCTCTTGGTTGAGTTGGTAGAGAGGAATTTCAAATATATACCCCCCTTCCCTTTATGAGCTCTCCCAAGCCTTCCTATTCTCTGAATTTTTCTTTTTTTTTTTTTTTGAGGCGGAGTTTCGCTCTTGTTACCCAGGCTGGAGTGCAATGGCGCGATCTCGGCTCACCGCAACCTCCGCCTCCTGGGTTCAGGCAATTCTCCTGCCTCAGCCTCCTGAGTAGTTCGGATTACAGGCATGTGCCACCATGCCCAGCTACTTTTTTTTTGTATTTTTAGTAGAGACAGGGTTTCACCATATTGACCAGGACGGTCTTGATCTCTTGACCTGGTGATCCACCCGCCTCAGCCTCCCAAAGTGCTGGGATTACAGGCTTGAGCCACCGCGCCCGGCCTGAATTTTTCTTTATAGGGTCTAGCTGTATTGCTTAAGCGTCTATAGCTTGCTCAACTATGCGATTTTTCCTTTGACCTAGCTTTCTGGTATACTGTGGTACATTCAAAAGTCATTTTTACAGACCATATGGCCAGCGCAGCCTTTTATTTCCTATTTCTGTGGCTTCAGCATCTGCACCCTATTCCTTCCAACCCTTTACAAACTGAATGCAGCCTGGTCCCATTAGTGCTCAAGTCCATAATAATAAGTGGCCTTCCCTAAAGAGGAAGGACAGGAAGGAGATGGCTGACTTTAAGGGCTATGGAAAATCTTATGAATAGAAAGGCATTCTGGGAATGTTTAAAGTCAAGAATAGAATGAAATTAAGAAAAAAAAAAAGGGGTGGGGCTTGAAAAAAAGAAAAAAAAACAATAGAATGAAATTTGGTAAAATTACCTGGTGAAATCTAAACTGCAAAATCCCATATTCATAGCACATTGAGGTAATATCTGGCCTGGGAACATTATCCAAGATATCCAAGCTTCTGCTTGGGAATTGATCAGAGTTTAGCAGAGATTTCTCAGCAGCAGCTCTTTTTTTTTTTTTTTTTTTTTTTGAGACGGAGTTTCGCTCTTGTTACCCAGGCTGGAGTGCAATGGCGCGATCTCGGCTCACCGCAACCTCCGCCTCCTGGGTTCAGGCAATTCTCCTGCCTCAGCCTCCTGAGTAGCTGGGATTACAGGCACGCGCCACCACGCCCAGCTAATTTTTTGTATTTTTAGTAGAGACGGGGTTTCGCCATGTTGACCAGGATGGTCTCGATCTCTTGACCTCGTGATCCACCCGCCTCGGCCTCCCAAAGTGCTGGGATTACAGGCTTGAGCCACCGCGCCCGGCCAGCAGCAGCTCTTGTGTGAGATAGGATGCCCAGGTCTAAGATACAAGGAATTTTTTTTTTTTTCTCCCCCGCTGCCCCCAAGGGATTCTTTTAGATTGGAGCCAGGGATATCAGAAGCACAGCCCAACTCTGGGGAGATGAAGCTGGCCAAAACTGGGTAATGGCACAGTATACTGTGCCATTTCAGCATTGTTTCTTGGTTTTGTTCTAGTTCCAAGCCCTAACTGGAAACTAGAACAAAACCAAGAAACAAATGCTGAAAAGTGGGTAATGTGTGGTGGGCTGAAACTAGCTGCTTATACAGGTCATGTGAAAAGAGGCTGAAACTAGCTGTTTATACTAGTCCCAAGGGTCTTGGTTACTCCAGGGGAAACTGTGGCCATAGCCTCTTATAACTGGAATGAGAGCTTCAAGAATGTGACCATGTTTGGTGTGCATTGGCTCAGAACCCCACTGCAATTGAGCCTGAGGTACCTAGTTATTCCTGTTTGTTGGCAGTTGGGGAGAGCTCTCAGGAAGGCTAACAGGGACTTACAGGGAACTGGGAAAGACATGTTAACCACATGTGTTAGGGCCTACCGGCAAGAGGCACAGAATAGACAGGGACAAAAGGAGGCAAGGCATTGCTCAGGGCCTTGGGGCTAATGTTGGCCACTTCCGATCTAAGCCCTCACTGATTTAATGTCTCTTCTTTTTGGCAGCCCTCTCTGGGAGATGGTTCAGGATGGCATTGACCTCAAGAGCATCCAGTGGACCCAACACTAGAAGAAGAGGGCCCTGGCTGGGCGTGGTGGCTCACACCTGTAATCTCAGTATTCTGGGAGGCAGAGGTGGGCAGATCATGAGGTCAGCAATTCAAGACCAGCACGACCAATATGGTGAAACCCTGTCTACTAAAAATACAAAAATTAGCTGGGCGTGGTGGCGCATGCCTGTAATCTCAGCTACTCGGGAGGCTGAGGCAGGAGAATCGCTTGAACCTGGGAGGCGGAGGTTGCAGTGAGCTGAGATGGTGCTACTGCACTCCAGCCTGGGCAACAGAACAAGACTCCATCTCAAAAAACAACAAAAAAAGAATAGAACTCTGACTTTGTGCTGGTCTGTCCCCTCCTGCCTCATCAACCCGTGCACAACCAGGCACTTTTGTTAGGCCCAGTGGATGCTCCAGATTGGTATAGAACGTTGGCTTCAACATCAGCCCACCTCTATGACAGAAACACAAGGAAACTATCTTTCCCTAGCTTCAGCTCCTTGGGTTTGGAGCACTTCCCATTTCTTCCCGGCTCTTACAGTGTGGACATTTTCATCCTGAAGCTGTAGAGACATTTGCTATTATATTGCTGCTGTACACATCTGTGCTCTTGGTGAGGAGAGCAAGAGGAACCAGAAGAAATCTCTGCTCAGGGACCATGATGCTCTACATGGACATTTGAGTCGTCAGTCGGCATCTGCTGCTGCTCAGCTGGACCAGTTCCTTTAACAGCAAGCATAATCCACTTTAATGTTTTCTGTGGCTCCAAAGGGTACCTCTTCATATTGACTGCAGACTGAATGGACAGTTTCTTAGAGGGTTTGTCTCCTTTCTCCTTTCTTCTTTCCTTTCCTTTGACCTAATGGAGCTAGAAATATGTCTATGACTCCACCTATTATCCTAATGATTAATTTCCTTAAAAATTGTTAATATGAAGACTGGAAAAATAAACTCAACTTCTGTTTACTCTGTGACTTTATGAGAGGTTCAGGGAGAAGTGGAAGCTGTACTTGGGAAGTGTGAACAAGGCCGGGTGCGATGGCTCAAGCCTGTAATCCTAGCACTTTGAGAGGCCGAGACAGACAGATCACAAGGTCAGGAGATCGAGACCATCCTGGCCAACGTGGTGAAACCCCGTCTCTACTAAAAATACAAAAATTAGCTGGGCGTGGTGGCGTGCGCCTGTAGTCCCAGCTACTCGGGAGGCTGAAGCAGGAGAATTGCTTGAATCCGGGAGGCAGAGATTGTAGTGAGCCAAGATTGTGCCACTTCACTCCAGCTTGGCGCCTGGAGACAGAGTAAGACTCTGTCTCAAAAAAAAAAAAGTATGGGCCGGGCGCGGTGGCTCAAGCCTGTAATCCCAGCACTTTGGGAGGCCGAGGCGGGTGGATCACGAGGTCAAGAGATCGAGATCATCCTGGTCAACATGGTGAAACCCCCTCTCTACTAAAAAAATACAAAAAATTAGCTGGGCATGGCGGCGCGTGCCTGTAATCCCAGCTACTCAGGAGGCTGAGGCAGGAGAATTGCCTGAACCCAGGAGGTGGAGGTTGTGGTGAGCTGAGATCGCGCCATTGCACTCCAGCCTGGGTAACAAGAGCGAAACTCCGTCTCAAAAAAAAAAAAAAAAGTATGAACAAGACCACCACTCCACGTGATTTGCATAAATCACTCAGTGGTGTTAAAACTCACGCTCTGAATGAAGAGACCCCCAAACAGGCTTTATGTGAGCAACATGGCTGTTTATTCACCTGAGTGCAGGCAGGCTGAGGCTGAAAAGGGTGTCAGAAAGGGCGGTGGGATAGGAGTTGGTTTTATAGGTTTGGGGTTGGTAGTTGAAAGTTACCATTTAGGGCCGGGCACAGTGGCTCACGCCTGTAATCCCGGCACTTTGGGAGGCCGAGGCGGGTGGATCATGAGGTCAAGATGTCGAGACCATCCTGGTCAACATGGTGAAACCCCATCTCTACTCTACTAAAAATACAAAAACATTAGCTGGGCATGGTGGTGCGTGCCTGTAATCCCAGCTACTCAGGAGGTTGAGGCAGGAGAATTGCCTGAACCCAGGAGGCAGAGGTTGTGGTGAGCCGAGATCATGTCATTGCAATCCAGCCTGGGTAACGAGAGTGAAACTCCGTCTCAAAAAAAAAAAAAAAAAAAAAGTTACCATTTAGGGGTTTTGGGAAAGCTGGGAGTAGGTCATGGGTTTGCAAGCTGGGAGGGGGTTGTAGGGTATGGAGTCATGCGGTTGACCATGTTGGTTACAAAGTCCAGTGGCCTTATCAATTGGGGCTGGAATAAGGAACAATAGAGAATGTCTTAAAGTTAACTGGTTTCTCTTTTCATGGTCTTCCAGTTACTTTAAATTTTCCAGGAACTCATCTGGAGTGTAAGTCACAGAGGTTAACATGGCATCCATGGGGCCGTCAGTTGGCCTAAGAAACCTTATAAGTGGGCTTTTGTATCTCTTCATTTAGCATTTATTTGAATGCCTGCCAGGAGCTAGACTTGTTCTGGGTATTAGGGATATATACTGGTTAACAGGACCAAAAAAGACCCCACCTTCACTGTGCTTTAACTTTTAGTGGAGAGATGGAAAATAAGAAGTAAACAAAAAAATGTTATAGGCTGGGCATGGTGGCTCAGGCCTGTAATCCCAGCACTTTGGGAGGCTGAGGCAGGTGGATCACCTGAGGTCAGATTGACTGGCCTCAAAAACAAACAAGCAAACGAACAAAAAAAAACAAAATTAGCTACGCATGGTGGTGCATGCCTATAATCCCAGCTACTGGGGAGGCTCAGGCAGGAGAATCGCTTGAACTCGGGACGCGGAGGCTATAGTGAGCTGAGATTTTGCCATTGCACTCCAGCCTGGGCAACAAGAGCGTTTAAAACAAAAAACAAAAACCCAAAACTCAAAAACAAAAACAATGTTATAAATTGTGGTAAGTGCTATGAAAGAAATAAAGTTGTGAGAAAACCTACCATGCTGGGTGTCAGAGGAAAGCTTTTCTGAGGAGGTAGTGCTTAAAAATATGAAGAGTGGGCCGGGCGCGGTGGCTCAAGCCTGTAATCCCAGCACTTTGGGAGGCCGAGGCGGGTGGATCACGAGGTCGAGAGATCAAGACCATCCTGGTCAACATGGTGAAACCCCGTCTCTACTAAAAATACAAAAAACTAGCTGGGCGTGGTGGTGCCTGCCTGTAATCCCAGCTACTCAGGAGGCTGAGGCAGGAGAATTGCCTGAACCCAGGAGGCGGAGGTTGCGGTGAGCCGAGATCGCGCCATTGCACTCCAGCCTGGGTAACAAGAGCGAAACTCCGTCTCAAAAAAAAAAAAAAAAAAAAAAAGTGAAGAGTGGCTGGTGGCAGTGGCTTAACGCCTGTAATCCCAGCACTTTGGGGGCTGAGTGGATCATGAGGTCAGGAGTTCAAGACCAGCTTGACCAACATGGTGAAACCCGATCTCTACTAAAAATACAAAAATTTAGCTGGGCATGGTGGCACACACGTGCTTGTAATCCCAGCTACTCAAGAGGCTGAGGCAAGAGAATGACTTGAACCCAGGAAGCAGAGGTTGCAGTGAGCCGAGATTGTCCCACTGTACTCCAGCCTGGGCAATGGAGCAAGACTCTGTCTCAAAAAAAAAAAAAAGGCCGGGCGCGGTGGCTCAAGCCTGTAATCCCAGCACTTTGGGAGGCCGAGGTGGGTGGATCACGAGGTCAAGAGATCAAGACCATCCTGGTCAGCAAGGTGAAACCTCGTCTCTACTAAAAATACAAAAAGTTAGCTGGGCATGGTGGTACGTGCCTGTAATCCCAGCTACTCAGGAGGCTGAGACAGGAGAATTGCCTGAACCCAGGAGGCGGAGGTTGCGGTGAGCCGAGATCGCGCCATTGCACTCCAGCCTGGGTAACAAGAGCGAAACTCCGCCTCAAAAAAAAAAAAAAAATGAAGGGCTCACTAATATAGGAATGAGAGGAAGGAACGGCAAGAGCAAAGGGCCTGAAGCATGATAAAGCACAAAGTATTACACTTGAGAAACCAAGAGAAGGCCATTGTAACTAGAGCTTTTAATTTGTGGGTCTGAACCCATAGGTGGATAGTTACAGTACTTAAAAAAAAGGACAGAATGTGCTAGAGTATATTTATGCATATTTTAAGAATATATTGTGATGATATATTTGAATTTGTATATCAGGTTGCAAATTTTTTTTTTTTTTTTTTTTTTTTAAGAAGGGGTTTCGGCCGGGCGTAGTGGCTCACACCTGTAATCCAAGCACTTTGGAGGCCAAGGCAGGCGGATCACCTGAGGTTGGGAGTTCAAGACCAGCCTGACCAACATGGTGAAACCCTGTCTTTAATTTAAAAAAAAAAAAAAAAATGGGGTTTCACCATGTTGATCAGGTTGGTCTTGAACTCCCGACCTCAGCTGATCCACCTCATGTGGCCTCCAAAGTGCTTGGATTACAGGCGTGAGCCACTACGCCCAGCCGCAAATGTATTTCTTTCTTTTTTTTTTTTTGAGATGGAGATTCACTCTTGTTACCCAGGCTGGAGTGCAATGGCGCGATCTCGGCTCACCGCAACCTCCACCTCCTGGGTTCGGGCAATTCTCCTGAGTAGCTGGGATTACAGGCACCCGCCACCATGCCCAGCTAATTTTTTTGTATTTTTAGTAGAGACGGGGTTTCACCCTGTTGGCCAGGATGTCTCGATCTCTTGACCTCATGATCCACCCGCCTCGGCCTCCCAAAGTGCTGAGATTATAGGCTTGAGCCACCGCGCCCGGCCCGCAAATGTATTTCTTATTGTGGGTAATAGTCAAAAAAGTTTGATTGCTCTTCATACTTACCAGTATCAGGAAGACAGGAAAATTTGAAAACCACTGGGCTAAAGTTTGGTAAATGTAGATGGACAGGGGAAGGAGGACATGAAATTACAGAGTTTTCCTTTTTTAAAAATATCTTTTTTACTTAGAATAATTTTAGATTTACTGAAAAGTTGCAAGGACAGTAGAGTTATAGATCTATTGCCAGTTTTCCTCTAAAAAGCCTTATGTAAAACTATGCTAAT